TCCGTGCGGGATTCGAACCCGCGACCCTTTGCGCAGCAACTCATTACTAAGCCACTGCGCCACGGAACCAAAAAGGAAAAAAATCATCTTTTCACAACATTTTATTTACTTTATTCACGCTCCATCATGTTAGTACAGCTAAATGAAACGACAATTTCATAAAAAAAGTCATGAAAATACTGAAACATAAAACCAGCAGTGGAATTATTGAATTACAATCAGCTGACTAGAGGTCAATGTACGCGCGAACGCCGAACTCTTATAGGTCCGGTCCCGTAAAAAGAACGCTGGCCTTGAACCTGGATACTGAGCGATTTATCACTGATTGGTACGAAGGGGGCGCGACGGGGGAACAATCCGCCAGTATTACTGTGCCCGCATGCTATTGGTTCATGCTTCCCGCGCTTTGTTCGCTCCCAAAATACAGTCGCATACACAGCTTACTTTGCGACTCGCGACGATGGTTTTAAAAAGGAAGGAAAGAAAAATTATTTATATCTATTGTTTTATTACTGAACTAGTGAACGAAAAAGTAAATATGATAGGAGAAGGTGAATGGGGAAAATTGTGCAGTGAAGTTAAAAGTGTTGAGGAAGAATACCGAAAAAATTACCATGTGATCGACCTGATGACGGAAGCTCAAGCGAAGATGAAAGTGACGATGAAATAGCATCCAATAACACCAACACACCAACGACATCTGGCTTCCATGTGACCCAAGACGACATAATGGACTGCGTGTCATCCTTAGCTTAAGTTTTCTTGTTACAAACTACTTTATATTTTACAATAGAAATAACAAATAATGCTCAAGTAAACATTATCCATTTTTAATTCCAACCTCTTTCAAAGTTCTAAGTAGCTAGTTAAACACCTATTATGATTCTATAACTAATAACTAATAGACTATAACTTAATAGACTTGCAAGTCATTTTTAATAATTTACGTAACTCTTTTTAAATTCAAAGTATTGACCGGATTAAATACGGAAAGTCAATTAAAATAAAGTAAAAGTATTATTTTTTACATTATTTTATTGTGATTATTTTAATCTGATAGATTAATCAACTGTCGATCATAATTGCAATTGATTTTAACCATTAAATTATTCATTACCATTTGTTACGGCCTACGGCTGCTCCTACAAAGATTCAATCCTCCGGGGCCCATCAGCGGAGTTTCAACGAACAGACGTAGGTCGGGCCTCAATATGGCCGCGTGGAATTTCCTATCACAATAAACTATATGGGAGGAAGCTAGAAACACATAGTACTTACCATTATCCGAAGCTAACTTCGCACCAAGGCTTGGGCAGGCCGTGAGTGTGTGTAATAGTGGATGGCGAGTAGTGTACAGTGATGTGTGAATATGTGGGGCCTTGGCAAGCATAGGCGACCAGCAGCGGCCGAGTTCCAGGCTGCTCCAAAATACTGCATCGCTCTAGACTGCTTCAGCGCCGGACCACTTCTTTCTTCATTGTCAGTAATTCAGTTTCTTAGTTTTATTGTACATTTAACTAACTTCAATTCGCCTAATTCCACATTCATCGTAGAATCGAACACGTGACACACGACAGATTCAGCCTTAAACACAACCAAGTTCCTTTATTCGACACCAGAACAACACGTCGCGCCAGAGTAAAAAATACGCCTCGTTGACACGCACTTCATCTAGCTAAGATGCACAATTACTTTCAAAGAATTTACTTAAACCGTAAAACCCCATAAAGTCCTCTGGTACGGGAACCTAAATCCTAGACCACCAAATCCGAGGCGGATTTCACGAAACACAATTACGTAGCGAAGCCGCGCCCAAGCCCAAATTGTAGACCCTAATCATTCGAAACCGGTCTCGCGCAAACTTCCGCAGCGGTAGCCGAAACACTCGGCCTAACCGGGTCGCTGCTCCCAAGCTACTACCGTCACCTACTGTCTCGCCCGACCGCCAAGACGCTGGGAAGCTCCCTTCCGCTGCCCCCTCTCCGATACACGCGTGACACCTGGTACGATCGGGTGATTGGCAAAGTCGAACGTGATTGGGTAACGTCCTAACATAACCAAACCAACCTAAACACCATTTCATTTCTATTTTCTTATACAAAATCAAAGATAACGATGAAATAGTGTTTGTAATTGTGTTTCAATTTTGTAATTTCAATAATTTTTGTAGTAAAGATCTGCTTGTTGCTTCAGAGTACAAATGATTGTGTAATTGTATTAAAAATGACAACCATAACTTTTAAATTCCATATGAAGACTAGTCGTAGGGATAAATAAAATAAACATTGGCGATGTCTTAACATACATAACGCTTTAACGGTATGAGGAAAGTTCCAGTGCTTCAAGGACTTTGCCTTATGTGCGCATTTGTTTTGGCGGAGTAGATTAATAATTTTAGTTTTTGAGACAGTTTCGTGTTGACTATCACGAGAGATAGTTCAATTGTTTTGTTTATTAAATTATTGTCCTTATTACTTATTATTTAGTACTTAATGATATTGTTCTTCTGCTGGCCTTCTGCTGGCCGTATGAGGAAGCTCAGCGAGCTATGGAGAGGGCTATGCTCGGGGTTTCTCTGCGTGATAAACTTAGAAATGAATATATCCGCAGTAGCACCAGAGTAACCGACATAGCCCAACGGATTAGTAAGCTGAAGTGGCAGTGGGCCGGCCATATAGCTCGAAGAACCAACAACCGTTGGGGAAGAAAGGTTCTTGAGTGGCAGCCTCGTAACGGTAGGCGAAGTGTAGGGCGACCCCCCACGAGATGATGCAGGAAGTCGATAGATGCAGGTGGCTCAATACCGGGCTTTGTGGCATTCCTTGGGGGAGGCCTATGTTCAGCAGTGGACGTATGAAAGGCTGTAATGATGATGATGATGATAATATTGTTCTCGATGTTACGGTTTAAGTTTCTTGTTTTGTTTTTATAATGCCTAACGCGTACGTTTATAGTGCTCGTGAATACGGCAACATGTTAATGTGCATTGGAGAAGCTCGCGGGCATGCTTCGCGTGCATTACGAATTTACCGAGAGAAATTCCCGACCGCTCGACATCCAGCTGACTCTTGTCTGATAACAGCAGCATTTCAGCGAGTGTTTGAAAATCGGCCCATTGCTCTGGTAGCGGCAGGAGGTGGAAGTCAAGTGGCTGTTCACTCAGATGAGGGCATTTTAGATGCGCCGGAATCCAAACCTAGGTACACGAAGTATCGCTAAATTGTTAAGGCGTCGGGATGGAACAAGTGTGTCATACTGTACAGTTCACAAAGTGTTAAAGCGTAACCGAATGCGCCCATATAAAGTGTACAAAGTGCAAGCGTTAGTTACCGGCGATCACGACCACCGGCGAGTTTTCTGCCGTTGGTTATTAGACCAACAACAACGTGAATCTGGTTTCATTGAGCACGTTATCTGGACGGACGTGTCGACATTTACCAGAAACGGCCCGTGGAACCGAAGAAATACACACGTGTATTCCTAGGTTAACCCGCACGCTGTTCAACAAACCGGGCACCAAACCCGATGGTCGGTTAACGTATGGGCAGGTTTATTTAAGAATCGCATACTAGGACCAGTGTTTTTGCCACAGCGACTTAACGGACAGCGATACCTGAACTTCATAAATTAACAGTTGGTTGACATTTTAGACGACCTATTGTTGGCTGAATATCGCCGCACATGGTTCCAGCATGATGGTGCCCCTCCACATGTCGTGAGGTTCGCCCGTGAGCGCCTCAATGAGCTATTCGATGATCGCTCGATCGCCAGACTAGGACCACACGCTTGGCCACCTCGCTCACCAGATCTGACCCAGTTAGACTTCTTTCTGTGGGGGTATGTGAAAGAAAGGGTATTTAATCGTGAGTGTGATGATAGTGCTGACGAAATGCGCCAAAGGGTCGTGGATGTTTTCGATAAACTACGTATGGACTATGTCGAAGACCACACGATGATGCCCCGCCTGCATGAGGAGACGCAACACCGAGCCCAAATCAGCCTTGAAATGAATGGAGCACAATTTGAGCCGCATCCCATAAGACCACGGAGGATTTAGAGCGGTAAGCTGTTACATAACTATTTTTTTTAAATAACTTAGTACTGAACTAATCTGAATAGGTACATAACTGAATACATGAGAATAATAAACATACCTACACGATGAATAAAAACGCATGACTCTAACCTTGGTTACATATCATTTAAGTATTTTTTCATTAGCGGGGAATTGAACCAGTTATTTGGGTTCATAGGTTATACCTATGAATTCGGATTAAAGTGGCTACGTGGAGACAAGCACAATGGCAAAATAGTAGGTTAAGTAGATAAGTTAGGTATTTAGACAAGTGTTGTAAATTATTAGGTATTGGGGTATAGCCCGCTAGTAAAAATACCCTGATTATGGCTGTAGCACGAATGGGACACCTCGACCGCAGTAGAACCACGCTCTTACATAATACTAGCGTGATGAGGCAGAATAGTGTTGTGTTTCGCATGGTGAGTGTAAAGGAACGGACACACTCTTCTTACTGGTAACTAAGCCTCTACATGTATATAAAAGAGAAAATGATCTACACGATTCCGTAAAAAACTTATACAATTTAATTCAGTCCGTATTCCTTTCGAACTCGCTCAATATTTAAACGTACATAATCCCAAAGTGAGATACGTGTATAATATACAGATGGCTAAATTTTATTTATTTTTTAATTTATTTATATTTCCTACTGACATCTACCATTACAGGGAAAAACCTAAATCGATAAATGTAGCATCTCATTTCAAGATAGTATATGTATGCAGGTATAATTAAAAGTGAAGTTACAGCTTTTCTATATCCTGCTGAGCACAGTCTGTCTCTCATTTCCCAGGGGATTATGCTGCCTTTAGTCCGCCGCCCTGCTGCAATTCGTGTTGACGGATTTCGGATTGAAATTGACCCTAAGGACAAGGAGAAAACTGCATTCTCCACAGGAAAGGGTCTGTGGCAATTTAAAGTCATGCCGTTTGGATTGTGCAATGCTCCAACAACGTTTAAAAGGTTGATGGAGCTTGTACTTAACGGGCTAATTGGAGATGCCTGTCTGGTCTATTTGGATGACATCATCATCGTAGGCCGTACGTTTGAGGAACAGCTTCAAAACCTGGAACGCGTGCTCATGAAGATCCAGAGTGCCAACCTCAAGTTGAGTCCAAAGAAGTGCTCACTATTCAAACGCCAAGTTAGTTTTTTGGGGTATGTAGTGTCGGAAGAAGGTATCCGCACGGATCCAGAAAAAATTGCCGCTGTCAAGGAGTGGCCGGTTCCAAAAGACAAGACACAGGTTAGAGCATTTTTGGGTTTGTGCTCTTATTATCGGCGATTTGTGAAGAACTTTGCAGATATAACCAAACCTCTGCACAAGCTAACCGAGGAGAAGCGACATTTCTGCTGGGATGAAAGTTGCGATATTGCATTCCAGGAGCTCAAGAACCGTCTGTGCAAAACGACTATTTTGGGGTACCCTGATGCAGGCAAGGAATTCATAGTTGACACAGACGCAAGTGATATAGGACTTGGCGGTGTGCTGTCTCAACGGAATGGTGATCAAGAGATTGTGATAGCGTACTTCAGCAAGTCGTTGTCTAAGCCGGAAAGGAACTATTGTGTCACAAGACGGGAATTGCTTGCTGTGGTAAAGTCCTTGCAGCATTTTAGCAAATATCTCCTGGGGCGGAAATTCTACTTACGAACTGACCATGCTGCACTGAAATGGCTATTGCAGTTCAAAAATCCGGAAGGACAAGTTGCGAGATGGATTGAACTACTACAGGAATACGACTTTGTGATCGAACATCGCAGCGGGAAATCTCATGGCAATGCAGATGCATTATCAAGAAGACCTTGCCCTGAAGATTGCAAGCATTGTACTAGGCAAGAGGGTAAAGAAGTGGTATCTGCGAGGATATTCAGGACTGACCAGATCAGCAATGAATGGAAGGACAGCCTACAACATGCACATCAGGAAGATTCGGACGTTAAGCCGATTCTGGAATGGATGAAGGCCAGTGCTCCTAAGCCCAAGTGGAGCGACGTCTCAGCAATGAGTTCGACCACGAAAAGCTATTGGGCCCAATGGGACAGCTTGCAGATTCAGGATGGAGTCCTGTGCCGTAAATGGGAAAATAGTCGGGGAGACAGGTGTCATTTGCAAATGGTTGTCCCTAAGGCTATAGTACCGGATGTTCTCCAGCTGTACCATAGTGGTTGTTCAGGAGGCCACCTGGGAGTTAAACGAACTCTACTGAAGATCTGAGAACGGTTTTATTGGGTCCACTGTCGTGACGATGTCGAGGACTGGTGCCGCAAATGTACAAGTTGTGCGGCTGTAAAGTGACCTCAAATTCGTAGTAGAGGCGCATTGAAATTGTACAATGTTGGTGCACCATGGGAGAGGATAGCCATTGACGTTGCAGGGCCGTTTCCGGAAAGTGAAAGTGGTAACAAGTATTTCATGGTTGTGATGGATTACTTTACTAAGTGGCCAGAAGTCTTCGCCATTCCAAATCAAGAAGCTTCAACAGTTGCAGATAAACTAGTTCATGAAGTCTTCTGTCGTTTTGGAGTACCTTTAGAGATTCACAGCGATCAAGGAAGGAATTTTGAGTCTCAAGTATTCCAGGAAACTTGCCGAGTTATGGGTACTCAGAAAACACGAACAACTTCTTACCACCCACAATCTGATGGAATGGTAGAAAGATTTAATCAGACATTGGAGAGGTACCTAGCAAAAGTTGTGGAAAAACGGCAACGAGACTGGGACAGGCACATACAACCGTTTTTGTTGTCATATCGAAGCGCTGTTCACGAAAGTACATCAGTGACACCAGCTTTCGCAAACTTTGGGAGAGAATTGCGGCTGCCTGCAGACCTGATCACCGAAATACCACCTGATGCCCCACGCAGTATAACCGATTATGCAAATGACTTGTGGAACAAAATGAATGACATTTATGAGCACGTCAGACAGACGGGCCAGCAAACGTCTGAGAAGATGAAAACACGGTATGACCGCAAAATGAACAACAAGGGGTTTGATGAAGGTTCACTAGTGTGGTTAAACAATCCAGTTCGCAGCAAAGGGAAATCTCTTAAGCTTCAAGCTAAATGGGACGGACCGTACCGGATTGTAACAAGGATCAATGATGTAACCTACCGGATACAGAAAGGTGCCAGAGGTACTCCTAAGATTGTCCATGTGGATCGACTGGCGCGTTATTATGGGGCCAATAATTATCGGGACGAGCATGTCTTAGGAGGGGGCAGTGTTGCACGCCACTATTAATGTCTTGTACATGGCAACACTAGTTACACTAGCGCCCTCTAGTGTCGAGTAGCAGAACTAGGAGAGTCGAGATCCTTCCAGAAATTTCGGGACCGATATGTACTCGAACATTCTAGATGTCGCTACAGTAGAAGGTTCTGGAAACTATCTGAGGCCCTATATAAGGCCGGTATAGACCACGACCGGGGCAGTATTGAATTGGCGATACAAGAGAATACTTCGAAGCGAAATAACGGCGAACTGTGTTTTATTATTAGTGTGATTTTAGATTGTAATTAGTGTTGTGTAATTAAAGTGATAATTTTGGTAATTCAATCGGCAGTTTTTAATTGTCTCGAACCCCAAGCTCGTAACAATATTGTTCCTCTGATATGTAGCATTCCTCGCGATGTTTTCCTTCACCGAATAGCACGTATTAAATCTATACATCTATACTATATTTACATACTACAAATAAATAAAATTGATGTGCCTGTTTGTACTGTCAAAATAACAGCTTTTAAATAATGCATATGAAAGTATGTAGGATACTAATAACAAAAACACAATTTTTGAAAATATTTGTCTGTCCGTCTGTTTGTTCCGGCTAATCTCCGAAACGACTACACCGAGTTCGACGGGACTTTCACTGGCAGATAGCTGATGTTATAAGGAGGAACTTAAGCTACTTATATTTTAGAAAAAGAATTAGGGTTCCGCACAACATAATTAAAACCCTAAATTACACGCGGGCGAGGTCGCGCGAAACAGCTAATAAGTACTTAAGATATACAATTAGCAGTTTCTTCGGCGTCGATAGGGACCAAAACTGCCTTTATAATATTAGTGAGATAAGTAGGATATTTAGTTTCAAAGAGACTTTATTTTATGGATAAAATAAATATTTCTTGAAGGTTGACTTTCACGAAATGATAAACATATTTAAATTGTATTTAAGTGATTCTTTGCATATAGAATGTCACTTAAATATAACTTAAACATTTCGTAAAAATCAGCCAAGTACACACTATTTTACTGGGTAAAATAATTGAATTCTAATTGCGGCCCTGTCCTTTTGTTATTTTTTATGAGGTTTACTTGACGATAGATGGCGGCCTGTTCCCAAAATTATTATGAAAACAATTAAAATATTATTTTGGCGATTAAAATTTCTTTGTCTGAATATATTTGCTTCATGAGATAGACGCTCCGATGCTATGGATGGCATCACATTTCATTTGTAAGTAATTTTACACCTAATTTATTAAAATAGTTCTGGAATAATCTCTTTGCATCGGCTTTCAAATATAATTAAATATATTCCACACTAGATGGCGTCACTTTGTGTCCTGTGAACTAAAAATATAAAGGTACGTAGAGCTCAGTAATGACAAAATAATCATACGAAGGTGCTGAAATTTGTTTTGCATTCACACATAAAGAAATATTAATCGCCAATATATTATTTTTATAGTTTATAACATTTTGTGGACATGCCGCCATCTACCGTCAAGGTAGCTAAGCTACATTGTAACATCGATATGGAAAGACTCGAGTACTTTTGCTATTTATCAGTAGATGTAGATGCAGTGTAAAGTGGGCGGGGCTTTGCATCCCCTCACCCCGCAAATTGTCACGCGTTCTTACATAGTGAAATTTAATTAAAACGTCTCCTCTTTATATTTGCTTCATGTAGAGAACCGAAGACCCATTTTACTGGTAAGGAGGCATTTCATCCTCCTCATAGGTGACGACGCATCTGCATTTTGATTCTTTATTGAGGATAAATGTAGATGTCTATGGGTCACAGCAACCACTTACCATCAGGTGGAATGTGTGCTCGTTTGTCACCCTATCCTATAAAAAAAACATAAATTTATATATATTAATAGAGTTTATGAGAGACTGAGATGTATTACTATACTATACAAATTATGTAATAAAGCGAAAGAGGTTTTTTTGTTTATTTAAACACGTTAATCTCTAAGAGTGACTCGACTACCACCAGAGATTTTTCCGGACCGATACCACTTAGGGACCTTCAAGAAAAGAGCGTACTCCTTTTTAAAAGGCCGGCAACGCATCTGCAATGCCCCTGGTGTTGCAGTTGTTCATGGGTGGCGGTAATCACTTCACACCAGGTGAGCCGTATGCTCGTTTGGCCCCTCTCCTATAAAAAAACTACTAGTGCGATTTGATAAATTATTAATAAATTATTTTTGCATTTAATAGCCAGATTCACGAGGAAGAGTATAGGCTATCTAGAATGGAAGGCCACACTCCTAAGACAAGTAAATACTAAGTTCTACAAAAATATAGATCTTTCCCACATATAAAAAGAAGTCCACTTAACCATAAGTCTATTCCTTATACATAACTAAGCCACAATAAAGTATTTTGTGACAAAAAATATTGCAAATTAAAAATTTATCGAACTTACGAACTAAAGTTAATTCATCATTAAGACAATTTTATGAAGATGTACTTTACTACTTATACCATGTTATTTGGACGCATAATTTAAGAGATAATGAAAAATTTAAATTATTCAACACTTGGCTCGGCGCGCGTGCGACCACATTACCCTAACGACTTTATAAAGGACGCGGGTGATACCGCGGGGTATACCTAGTTCAGTATATAGTGTTTTCTAATATTTACGGTCTCCATTGTGTACGGTGCTTTAAAGATGGTTGAATATAAATTTTTAACTGTTAAAGTAAATATTCGAAAAAATTACAAATTTATTATCAAATAAACATATCAAGTATTGAATAAAACTATCAATTCCAAACCAATCTTAACAATCCACGATTTCATATCTTACCGATTTATATTAAATTGGTCGCGTTTATGGCTATCTAGTGTCTATTTGGAAGTGAACTAGTTTTGGTTCTCTAGAATGATTTTACCTATAGAATTAAGTAGATATCGCTATTACAAAGCAATTTTAGACGAAAAAAAATATTCTTTTGATTTAATACACTAACATTTAGGCTATGTCTAAAAATAAGCATAGTAACATTTATTTGCTATAAAATAAAACTTTTATGTTATATTTTATGCCACACTTGTGGTTGAAAAGTAACAAATTAAATGAAACATTTGCTGTGAAATGTTTTTGTTTTATATTTCATTTCATTTGAAGGTTTCACTTCTACCGCGTGTGAACTGCACACATTTTTTTAAAATTACAAATTTATATTTTTTTATAAAAAAAACTTCGTATATACTACCACTACCACTTCACATATTATTTTTCACTGTGATTATTAAATTACAGTATGGAGTGGGACATTATAGAAAACAGAATTGTAGTGAAGACGTGGTACTATTATTTATTCTATGGTGAAAGATTTACCCGAAGTGGGTCTAACAGGTCTAAAGAAGGCGTTCGTAAGACTACTAGGAATTTTTGTCCCAATAGACTTTCGTTAAGACTACTAATTAAAGAAATTCTCAGTATTCCTACCCTATCCGAATATAATTATGGTGTTTTTCATCAGTACCTTTTTTTAGGAGTTGATTGGTCGTACATGATATTTATGTCATAAACTATGGATACGAATGAAAGTGGGCTTAAAGAAGATGTTTGTTTTAGGGGTCTACGCCCCAGACATGTCTAAGCTCACTTATATCCGAGAGCAGTTTTGGGAGTTGGTAAGGATGGTGCTAATGAAATGCAAGGTTAATGAAAATATTGTGATATTAGGCGATTTTAATGGAAGGGTTGGGGTGAGGAGGCTTGGTTATGAAAGGATATTGGGAACGTTTGGTGATGAAAGTATAAATGAGAATGGTGAAAGCCTTCTCGCCGTATGCGTGGAAAAGAATCTTGTTGTGACGAACACTTTCTTTTGTCATAAGAAGATTCACACGTATACACGGGAAAGAGGTGATGATAGAAGTATGATAGATTTCATAATTGTTGATGAAAGAATGAGGAGCGCGGTGGTAGATACAAGGGTTTACCGGGGCTCTAACGTAGGTAC